GTGCCCAACATCTACCTAGCACCTTCATTTTACTAACTGCATGCACCATTGGGTTCCCATTTGAACTTCATTTTTACCTGATAATTCTCTTTTCTTACTGTTCCCCCCCCCCCCCCCCCCATAGAGGCCTGCACTTCCAACTGTCATTCTTTTTTTTTCAGGTAAGGAGTAGGTTTATTCATCATTCCGGCTGGCACCAGGCCATCTTGGTCCTCCACATGGTGGGGAAAGGCCTGGGAAAGAGAGCTGGGAAAGAGAGAAAAGAGTTAGAAAAGAGTAGAGAGGAGAGCAGAGAGAGGGTGTCGGGGCCTGGACTAGGCCTTATCTAGGGTATGGGCAGACAAAGGTGTGGCAACATCAAATTCAGATGTGACCTCAGGGGATGCAGATGTGACCTCTTCCAGTTGTCCCAGTTGCCTAGGTAACACAAGTACTGGGTGGAGACTTTGCTGCGTGGAGGGTAGAGTCTGCTAGCCATCAGGAGCTGACCTTACATTCCAGCCTTTTAATAATCATGAAATAGGGCGCGGATTCTCTCTGGCTACTTCCTGCTGACAAGGGGCGTCGACAATAGGGGTAAAAGGCTGGAATTTGGTCCCCTCCCAGAGAAGGCAGTGAACAGCAGCTGTCCCTTGGTGGCATGTGTCCTTAGATGAAGTCTGGAGAAGTCTCATGAGCATTGAGGGGCTGGAAAAAAAAATACTAGAGAGCAAATAAATGGCAAGAGGAAGGACTTGGGGCTGAAAATGTTGGTAGAAATGTCCCTAGCTACTTCTGACATCTGGCAACTAGGTAGAGAAGTCAGATGACAAAGGCAAGAATATAAATTCCTGTTCAGTTAATAGGTAGACAGGTACAGACATTGGATGGGCAGGCTTCTTACTTCTACTGACCTCCTGGCTCTGGTTAATTTTGAAAGGGCCGGCACAAAGTAGCTGATGTGACATCATCTCCTCTTAGTCCTCTCCATGTTCTCCTCTTCCCCAGACTGGCTGAGTCTAGGTGCTCATTGCTGGGATGGCTTGTCCCAGTTGGTATTCAAGGAGGTTTGAACTCAAGGCCTGGGCACTGTCCCTGAGCACTTCTGCTCAAGGCCAGCACTGAACCACTTTGAATTATAGTACCACTTGCAGAGTTTGGCTGGTTAGAGATGAGAGTCTTGAGCCATGCTTCCAGCCAGGCTCTTTGCAGGTTAGCTGGGAGATGGGAGTCTTAGGGATTTTTCAGCCCTGGCTGGCTTTGAACTGAAATCTTTGCCGCAAAAACCCTTTATTATTTCCAATTAAAGCAACAAGGAGATCAAACAGAATAAGTAGAGTTTACCTGTTCCTTATCAAGAATTGCCGACAAATTTTCTGAAATGACAAAACTCATTAGATGTGATGAGAATTTTAGCACAGATATGCCCAGTATTTTAGAACCATGTAGTCAGTAGAATACACAACACAAAACAAAAAAGGCAAAACTCAAAACCTAAAATTTTGACAACAATGTTTAGACATCTTTGCTAACAAAGCACATCACATGATTGGGCCTCAGTTACCAGGGCCTGTGAAAAGAGCAACTTGTTAGCAAGGCACCTTAGAATAGCTGGATGGAGTAGTAAGTTTGGTGGGAGGTTAAGGGCCAGATGGGGCCAAACCCTTAACCCACCAAGATGTGGCCAAGATGGTGATTTTCCGAAAAAAATGCAAAGAAACCCTGAACAAATAGATCAAGCCTACATTGGCTAGCCTTTGAGAGGGAACCTAGAGGGGGGTCCCAGGGACCCAGCCTGCATCGCACTCTTCAGGGCACAAGCCAAAATGTAGAAAAGAGAAAGGGAGAGATAGGGAAAGTTGGACATGAATAGCAGAGAGAAAAGAGAGCCTGATAGTAAACAGACTTCTGACCATTTACCATTGCAGTAGCAAAAACTGTGCACATCTGAGACTGGCATAAAATTAGGCTCTCTGGCTTTCCAGGGAGCTCAGGAGGCATTTCAAAGGGGTTTCATGGCTCATGCATGATTCCCGCAGTACCCCATTAAATGAGTAGGAGAGTCAGTCTGGTGAGTGAAGGAGAGCTGACCAGGCAGAAGCGGCGTCCCGACTTCCCCCAGAGCCCTCTAGAGAGAAATGGCCAAGCACTCAAAGCCAAGTGTCCTCGGCTTCAGAGGTGACTGGCCTTTCAGCTAAAGGCCAGTAGGAGCTCTCTGGCGTGGTGCCACATCTGGACTGAGACTGAGCAACAGAGAACCATAGAAAGTAGTTTCACTCACCAGAGTAGAGAAGTGGTGTGAACGTGGCTGTGAAGGCCAGCAATGGTATCGAAGCGTTGTGTCTGCAGCAGACAGACGGGTTCGCAAAAGGCCATCAGAACTGTGGGTATTCCTCAGAGCAAAAAGGGAAAAACAAACAGAAAAAGAAAAAAGGAAAAAAAAAAACAGAGGAATCCCAGCTATCCTGACTTTAAGCCCTTTATCCAAGTCACGGCATCATTTATGTTAGGTTTTTAAAAAGAGGTAGCCGAGTAAGAACTTCACCATGCATGTGGTATTCAGGTAAGGGGTAGGTTTATTCATCGTTCCAGCTGGCATCAGGCCATCTTGGTCCTCCACGTGGTGGGGAAAGGCCTGGGAAAGAGAACTGGGAGAGCTGGGAAAGAGAGAAAAGAGCTAGAAAAGAGCAGAGAGAGAGCAGAGAGACCCCAACTGTCATTCTTAAAGCCTGGGAACTCCACAGAGGCAGGGACCAAGTCTTTCTCATTTCTGTGTCTTGATCACAGGGCCTAGCTCCTAAAGGCACTTAATAAACATTTACTCACACTTTGAGTGGAGGATCTATAACTTTAAAGATGAATTACATTTTCTTAGTAATGTGGAGACTTGGGAAAACTTGTAAGTTTTGCACCAGATTTGGTTATTAAATATAGAAAATATTAGAAAAGTATAGGGTATGATAAAGTTATGTTTATGTAAAAAAGCATCTAGCAGAGGCTGTGGCTTAAGTGGTAGAGTACAAGTATGAGGCTCTGAGTTCAATCTCCAGCACCCTTCATTAATGAAAAAAATAAAAAAGGCATGTTAGAATACAAAAGTAGAGGAGGCTGGGAAGGTGGCTCAGTGGTAGAGTGCTTGCCTTGAATGCATGAGGCCCTGGGGTCGATTCCTCAGCCCCATATAAGCAGAAAAAGCCGGAAGGTGGCACTGTGGCTCAAGTGGTAGAGTGCTAGCCTTGAGCTGAAGAGCTGAGGGACAGTGCCCAGGCCTAGAGTTCAGGCTCCACTCCTGACCAAAAAAAAAAAAAAAAGTAGAGATATATAAAAGCAAATCATAGTTTGTTAGCATTAAAAGTTCTGTTGTTCTTAGTATGTTTCAGATTTTCTATAATTTATTTAGAAGAGTTGAAGGAATTCTAATTTCTCATGCATTTTAAGCATTTTATATATATCTCCTAGCTCCTTGGGTAATTTTGTTCCTGAGTTTGACTCAATCCTGGGTAGTTCCCAAGAAGGAGAGCATAATTTCCATTATAGCTAATGTAAAATATCTTGCTTCTTCTCTTCTTAAGAAAATCAAAGATTTTTATTTTAAAGTTTGTTTTTCCAAGACAGCAAAGATGAAACCAGTTGCCTTTCTTTTTAAATTCTTTTTCCGTTTTTCAAATAAGCTTTCATCTATTTCCCATTTCCTCTGAAGCATCATCACAATTACAAAAAAATACACTTAATGATCTGTCTTCAAATTCTTGATGTAGCAACTCCTGAAGACAGGAGCTGAGGCCCAGAGCAATTACATGGCCTGTTCTAGGTCACAAGCTTGATTAGAGGCTTAACTGAACCAAACCAAAGATCTCATTCTTAAACATTCTACACAGTGAATAGCTACACAGTAAATATTTTTTCCTTTTATGTATGTATATGTGTATTTCTTTAAAGAATATTTTTATGTATGTATAAAGCAAGACTTAAAATTTTTTTGTGTGGGTTTGGGGGCCTGAACTCTGGGCCTGGGCGCTGTCCTTCAGCTCAAGGCTCACACTCTACCACTTGAGCCACAGCACCATTTCTGGCTTTTTCTGCTTATGTGGTACTGAGCAATTGAACCCAGGGCCTCATGCATGCAAGGCAACACTCTACCACTGAGCTACCTTCCCAGCCTCTCCCTTCTTTTGTTTTTATCTTCTCTTTTTTGGTTCTGGGGATCAAACCCAGGACATTGCACTTGCTAGGCAAACACTTTGCCACTGAGCTACATCCCAGCCCATGTATTTTCTTTTTACTTGAGCCATACCTCCACTTCTATCTTTTTTTTTTTTTTTTGTCAGTCGTGGGGCTTGAACTCTGGGCCTGGACGCTGCCCTTCAGCTCTTTAGCTCAAGGTTAGTACTTTACCACTTGAGCTACGGTGCCACTTCTGATTTTCTGGTAGTTTATTGGAGATAAGAGTTTCACAGGGACTGGGAAGGTGGCTCAGTGGTAGAGTACTTGCCTTTCGTGCATGAGGCCCTGAGTTTGATTCCTCAGCACCATATAAGGAAAAAAAGCTGGAAGTGGTGCTGTGGCTCAAGTTGTAGTGTGCTAGCCTTGAGCTGAAGAGCTGAGCGACAACACCTAGGCCCAGAGTTCAGGCCCCACAACCAACCAAAAAAAAAAAAAAGTTTCTCAGACTTTCCTGCCCAGGCTGGCTTTGAACTGCAATTCTCAGATTTTAGCCTCCTGAGTAGCTAGGCTTACAGGTGTGAGCCACCAGTGCCCAGCTCACTTCCAGCTTTGTACTGGTTAATTTCAAACAGGAACCTTATAGACTTTTCTACCTGGGCTGATTTTGAACCTGGATACTCAACTCTCAGCCTCCTGCTTAGCTAGGATTATAGATGTGAGCCACTAGCACCAGACTATAATGTGTTTGAACCGAAGTCTCCTGCAAAAGTCAAATCCCCTTAAATAAGTTGAATCCTGTTATTTTCTGAAGTTGCTTGTATGTTGCCTTCTGATGCCTTTCCTCCCTTCCTCCACAGTTGTGCATGCCGAAAGGTCTGTCTTTCAGAACACAGGCTGACAATAAAGACCCTCAGTTCCACTCATTTATAATCACCCGTGAAGATGGTTCTCGCACATATGGTTTTGTTCTCACTTTTTATGAAGAAGTAAGCAGCAAGCAGATCTGCACGGCCATGCAGACACTCTACCAGATGCACCATGCCGAGCAGTACAGCGGCCTGTACGCCTCGTCCTCCTGCAGCATGGACTCCCTGGCAAGCAGTATTGATGAGGGAGACACAACGTCCCTCCTGAAACTCCAGCGCTACAACTCCTATGATATCCACAGAGACACCCTCTATGTGTCCAAGAGCATATGCTTGATCACGCCACTGCCTTTCATGCAGGCCTGCAAGAAATTCCTCATCCAGCTTTACAAGGCCGTGACTTCCCAGCAGCCCCCACCCTTGCCACTGGAGAGCTACATTCATAACATTCTCTATGAGGTCCCCCTTCCGCCACCAGGGAGATCCCTGAAGTTTTATGGTGTTTATGAACCTGTCATCTGTCAGCGGCCTGGACCCAATGAACTCCCCCTCTCTGACTACCCTCTTCGAGAGGCCTTTGAACTCCTGGGATTAGAGAACTTAGTGCAGGTGTTTACCTGTGTACTTCTAGAAATGCAGATCCTTCTCTACTCACAAGGTAGGTGTCCTCAGCTGCTCTATTTCCTGGAGCTGCAGTCTTAGAATCTGACAATGCACTTTCAGGAGTCTCTTCTGGCTTAAAGAAAAAGAGCAGGCATGGTGGAGCCAAGTGGGCAGCATTGATTCTCTTTGAGGTGGCATTGCTGTGGAGAGAAACAGGAATATGCACAACTTCCTCTTCTTAAACCAGGTGCCAGTGGCTTGCACCTGCAATCCTAGCTGAAATCTGAGTATCATAGTTTGAAGCCAGCCTGGGCAGTAAAATCCATGAGAAGCTTACCTCCAATCAGTCACCAAAAAGCTAGAAGTGAATTCACACTTTATAGATCCTGATAATGACAATTTGCCTTGTGAAGGTTAAATGTGTTTGTGACTTTAACTAAGTATCACTATCCCACAATACTATAAAATATGTGAAATTTATGTAATCATCTAATCTCAATTTTAAAAAAAGAGAGAAGGGATGGGTTAGGAGCAATGGGTGACAGTGTTGTCAGGCACCTTGTACTCATATACCGTTTTGTAGAATGGGAACTTTTTTGTACACCTACTTAAAGATATAATAACAAAAAATGTAAAAAAATTTTAAAAATAAAAAATTTTAAATAAATCATTAATTTAAAAGAAATAAAATTTTATTTATTAAAATAATTTTAATAAGTAAAACAAATTTAAATTAAAAAAAAACTTCCTCTTCTTAAGCCCGGTGCCAATGGCTTGCACCTGCAATCCTAGCTGAAATCTGAATATCATAGTTTGAAGCCAGCCTAGGCAGACTCTTACCTCTGATCAGTCACCAAAAAGCCAGAAGTGAAGCTGTGGTTCAAGTGGTAGAATACTAGCCTTGAGCAAAAAAGCTCAGGGACAGAGCCCAGGTCCTGAATTCAAGCCCCTGGACATTCTCTATCCTCCCTCCCCCACCTCTTTCTGTCTCTCTCTGTCTCTGTCTCTCTCTCTCACACACACACACACACACACACCTCCTGTTCTTTAGAAATTACTAATTGTCCACATGGAAATGTAGCTGGCCTTGGACAGGCTAAGTGAGACTGTTTACTCTGCAGCCTGTTCCTGTAGTCAGCTCTGCCTGTTAGGTGCATTCCATGTGAATGTGCAGAAGGTAGGTATGTGTGTATGACCCAGATGCCACTTTACAAGCTCTGCAGCAGTTCTGCACAGAGTTATGTTGTATGTTTGGGGGAAAGGGGATGCTTCAATACCAGAAGGAAGTTATCTCTGTGATACCTTCCTTCCTTCCTTCCTTTTTTTTTTGGTCAGTTGTGGGTCTTGAACTTTGGGCCTGGGCACTGACCCTCAGCTCAAGGCAAGCATTTTACCCCTTGAGTCACAGAGCTACTTTCAGTTTTCTGGCAGTTAATTGGAGATAAGAGTCTCACAGATGTTCCTGCCCGGGCTGGCTTTGAACCACAATCTTTAGAACTCAGCCTCCTGAGTAGCTAGGATTACAGGTGTGAGCCACCGGCGCCCAGCCCATTTTCTACTTCTCTTTCTCTCTCATTTTCTCTACCTCTCCCTCTCTCCCCCACCCTCTCTTTCTTTCTCTTCTCTTTCTTCTCTCTTCTCTTTCTTCTCTCTTCTCTTTCTCTCTCCCCTTTTTTTGTTGGTCATGAGGGCTGAACTCTGGGCCTGGGCACTGTCCCTCAGTTCTTCAACTCAAGGCTAGCCTCTACCACTTGAGCCACAGTGCCACTTCCTGCTTTTTTCTGCTTATGTGGTACTGAGGAATTGAACCCAGGGCCTCATGCATGCAAGGAAAGCACTCTACCACCACTGAGCCAACTTCCCAGCCCCCTTTCTTTTTGGTGCAGGTACTAGGCTTGAACTCAGGGTCTTGTACTCTCACTTGCCTTTTTCACTCAAGACTGGTGTTTTACCACTGGAGCCACACCTCTACTTCCTCTTTGTGATATATTTTATTCAAAGGTCTCTCAACCCACATTTAAGATACTATCAAACAGATTTATTTGACCAGTGCATTTATGAAAACTAAATGGGGAACCTAGACTAAGATACCAGTTCATATCTGAATATGAATTCACAAATGAAACACAGATAATATATCTTAATGAATAGTGAATTGAAGGGAAATATAAATCAGAGCCCTTGCATGCATTGGTGCTTTAAAAAAAAACAATGAGACAAACGTTTGGGTTAGTGTTCTTTTAACTATTTAGGCTGACAGAATTGTAGCAGTCTCCCAACTGCTGCCGTCAAGCTTATTTTATCACCTCTCTTTTTTTTTATTTTTCTATTTTAAATTGGAGGAAAAGCTGAGCCAAGTCGGCTATATTTGTACTTCCCCGTCTTGTGTGTATGTTGACACTATTTGTGTGTTGACAGCCCTTCACACGGTTGTTTTCTTTCAATTTGGCCTACATAATGTTCTTTGATAATGGGTTCCAGTTGTTAAGAAGTTCTCCACTAGCCAATCATAATTCTTCCTTTTCTTCTATTTTTTTCTTCCCTTTCCTCTTGCTCTCACTTTCTTAGTGCTTATCATTACCTGTATACCACTAATTCTTTCTCGCTTTCCTTACTTTTTACCCTAAAGATGATAAGTGTTGCAAAGTCATATAATGTCACTCTCAAACCAGTTTCAGATTTTTTATGTGTGTACATGCTAGTATTGGGGTTCAAACTCAGGACTTCATGCTCTCCCTTAGCTTTTTTGCTCAAGGCTGGCATTCTACCAATTGAGTCACAGCTCTACAAAGGGCTTTTTGCAGGTTAATTGGAGTTAAGAGTCTTTCAGAGGGCTGGGAAGGTGGCTCAGTGGTAGAGCACTTGCCTTGCATGCCTGAGGCCCTGGGTTCGATTCCTCAGCACCACATAAGCAAAAAGAAA